CATATATATATGGAGATATACCCTCTGTGTCTCCTGTAATGGTGTGGGCTTGACAAAGGGTAGCCCAATCTTCACTAGGGCACCCCTCACAAGGTTGCTGGTCTTGTGCCGAAGACTCCCCAATGGATCAAAAGCGAAGAAGGTGGCCGGGCCCGGCCCGGCGACCTAAGAGCAGGAGGGGCCAGTGATGTAAGAAGAGGCGGGGCCCATCGATAGAGGAGAAGACAGGGTCTGATGGTGGAGGAGGAGGAGGCGGGGCCTGGCCCGGCGACCTAAGAGCAAGAGGGGCCAGTGATGTAAGAAGAGACGGGGCCCATCGATAGAGGAGAAGACAGGGCCCGATGGTGGAGGAGGAGGAGGCGGGGCCTGGCCCGGCGACCTAAGAGCAGGAGGGGCCAGTGATGTAAGAAGAGGCGGGGCCCATCGATAGAGGAGAAGACAGGGCCCGACGATGAAAGAGGACGCGGGGATGGAAGAGGAGGCGGGGCCCGGCGACCACGGAGGCAGACCGCGCTGACAGTTAAGAGGCGTGGAGCCCACCTGAGACCCTGCAGAGCCCACCATAGAGAGTCTATGGCAGGTTCACTCTCAGGTGGGCTGTTTGGTATATCAGGTGGGCTCTGCAAGGGGCATAACTATAAATCGCAGGGCCCCATACCAAATTTTGCTACGGGGCCCTGTGATGTCTAGTTACGCCCCTGATATGTACCATCACCATTCTTTACTTTTCTACAGAGCAATACAATAATTATGGGGGAAAAAAAAAACAATTATATGTGAGCTAATTGGCTGTGAATCCCCCCTGAGCGCTTAAACTGAAACCGTTAATGGGATTGATCTGTGACGATCCCCACGACGGAGGCCAATAACTAGACCCTGTTTAGTCAGGAAGCAGCAGGTAGGTGCGCGAAGGGGGGAGAAGTGCGCTATCCAGGGGGGAGCAGGAAATGCGTACCTAAGAGAAATACGTTCCCATCAAACCTTAAAAAATACCAAAAGCCTTTTATTTATTTTTAATTACTCATCCCAATCAACTGGGCGGTGAGAAGTCCATTAGCGGCGCGCGCCATGCCAAAATCGCTCTCCCGCAATTAGGAACGCTCCAGAAAAACACTTAATCGTTTTGAAGAACAACAAAACAAGTGCTCGGTAAGCCAATTATTATTATTTTTTTTTAATGACAAGACAAAATCCACCTAAGCACGAGAAGCCTCCGAGGATATTGTCAACGACAGGAAGACATGGCGGTGAAGGTACCTGGAGGAACTTTTGGAAATTAAGTTATAGTATTAAAGGAGAACTATGGGGTCAGGGCTTTCCCCCATAGTTCTCCTTAGGGTAACGGGAGGACACAAACTAGCGTCCTCCCGTCACCCTAAGCTCAGTATACAGGGAGCTGCAGCTCGCGGTATACTGAGACCGCCGCAGCCGGAGCGGATCCCGACATCGATGTTGAGATCCGCCCAGCTGTGTGAGTGACAGCTGGCTCTGCCTATCTAGAGGGTGTACCCGCCCCCTCCCCCGCCCCCCTCCGCCAGTCAGCGCTGGAGGATCGGAGCGGGGAGGGGGGAATGCAGCCCCTGTCACGGCAGAGAGCCGTGACAGGATCGAGAGGTGAGCGAACGCCGGTATGTGTTCGCTCACCTCCCGATCTACTGAGCCGACCTGTGACAGTCTCATTGTCACAGGTCGGCTAGAACTATGAGGTGAGTGAAAAGCACCCCCTCCTCCCCCCTCATAGTTCTCCTTTAAGTATGGTATCAACTCGTTTGGTTTCAAGGTCCTTGAAGGCAATCGGACTCTAAACAGACCAGTGTCTGCGGGCGCCTTACTTGTAACTGAATGCCCCCCCCCCAGCCGCCATACACCGCCTCGGGGACCTAACTATATTGCCCGCAGACCCACGTTGATCCCTATTAACCGGTCATACCCATCTGACCGTACGACTACCGAAGGACACCCACACCACGGATGGGTCCCCCTGTCCAGATATGCAACCACTGACAACTGACTCCAAGGATCCAAACCGCCAAGCCATAGCTGTGACAAACCCGCAAAGACACAGACCACCTCTCTCTAGTTCTTCTTCTGTTGCCGGACTCCCAACTAAACTTCCGGACTCCTCCTTCCTGACTACCTTCTTGAAGCCCCTCCTGAACGACCCCTTCCTCCAATCCCATAAGTGACCCTTCTATAACCTTTTCTTAACCCTTTCCTATCCTCGTTCCCCTTCACAGCCTTGTCATGCAGGCAGGGCCGGATTTGCTCTCCCTGCCGCCCCAAGGCCAGGAATGAACTCCTGTCACAGCTGAGCACGGCACGGCACAGCACAGCACGGCATGGCACGGCACAGCACGGCTCTCCCCTCTCACTGTGTACATCGGCTGCAGGGACAGGAGACAGACTCGGCGGCTGGGGGGAGGACAGAAGACCTGCCGCCCCAAGGCCTGGCCTCTGTGGCCTTGTGGGGAATCCAGGCCTTCCGCCCATTCCTCTGCTATCCATAGCTCCAGGCCTTACTTTTCTTCTGACGTGTCAATATCCCGATCGCTCTCGGCTCAGAGGATTATCCGAGGATCAAGGCTTGTGAACACTGAACGAGTCAATACTACTAATTACTACAACACACAAACCGCAGTTTAATTAGCCGGATATATCCCATGTTAAACCATGCATGGATTTTAAATGGCAGTATAGAGGTCGGACCGATTGACCAGACGTATCCCCAGGAAGCCCGCAGACAAGAGACCGCAGGCTTCACAACTCACAGCATGAGTTTATAGGAGAAAGATAGAACATGTTATATAATCATCCTCATGGAAGATGAGTTTATTGAAGGAGAGATACAGTGCCAACCATCGCTTATGCGTTTTGAGATAAAAACCCCTTAATTGTAATACTGTGATTGAAATGGAAGTCCTGGCCGAACTTTTTCCAGCCTTTGGATAGCTTAAAAAAGGGTTAGATCCCATCATTTTTGAAGGATTTATTTATTGCACCATCAATTTACATATTATTTACTCATATCAGTCCCCGCCCTTGAGGAACTTACTGTAATGCGCCTAATTGCTCTGTCAGGATCTCAACTGCAGAGTCGGTTTGCATCAACTGGAGCTCGTCTCCCAGCTGACGGAGTTGTATTATGGGTGAAATCAGTCGGAGCTTCAGTGCCGCTCTCAATCATAAAACGGAGAGTTTTGAAGCTACCAGCATCATGTATCACCTGTTTTTAACTTAACCTGTAAGTGATATGGAAGTGTTCCTTGAGATCATAAAAGTGTAAAGTGGTAGCGTTAGTAATGCAGCACCCCTCATATGCAGTAGTACATGGGATACAAGTATGTTTGTTGATAGCAGTATAAGAGACTACAGCAGGGTTTTGGTATATCCGTATTATGAGCACAGTGTAAACAGTATTTGATGGAACAGCAGTCTATCCCTGGTAATAGTAATCTGGCATACAACACATGCGGCTGGTAACCTGTGGCAGTAGTCTCTATGTGTCAGAGTACTCTGACTAGGGGTACTTGCGGTGTTTGAAGAAAATTAACCCTCCACGGGTAGTCCAGTGATCCTTGGCTGTAGGGTAGAGGTTCCCTCTGTCTGCAGATATCTCGTAGGTTTCGTCCCAGGGGAGATAGCAGGGCGCACACTCGTTTAGTGGAACGCCGCTGCTATGCTCTTCCCCTGTATAAATAGGGCAGCCCTGATTGGACAGGGCTGTCGGCGTCTGACGGCCGTTGCGTTCCACTGTGGAACGCAAGCCGCGCGTCTCGCTATGGGACACGTCGGCGCTGCGTTCCAGGGTGGAACGCAACACGCCAAATCCATTACACTTACAATCTACGGCCCCTACCTCCCTACCTGTCTGAGGCGATTTAGAGAGGAGGCATTCACCCTTCAAGAATGTATTTGGAATGTGGGAGGACCCATAAGGAGGGGGAAATCACAGGCTGCATGGTGTCCACTCCAGGGGGGGATGGAGGGGAAATCACAGACTGCATGGTGTCCACTCCAGGGGGGGGATGGAGGGGGAATCACAGACTGCATGGTGTCCAGTCTGGGGGAGATGGAGAGGGAATTACAGGCTGCATGGTGTCCAGTCAGAGGAAATAGAGGGGGAATTACAGGCTGCATGGTGTCCACTCCAGGGGGGGATGGAGGGGGAATCACAGACTGCATGGTGTCCAGTCTGGGGGAGATGGAGAGGGAATTACAGGCTGCATGGTGTCCAGTCAGAGGAAATAGAGGGGGAATTACAGGCTGCATGGTGTCCAGTCAGAGGAAATAGAGGGGGAATTACAGGCTGCATGGTGTCCAGTCAGAGGAAATAGAGGGGGAATTACAGGCTGCATGGTGTCCAGTCAGAGGAAATAGAGGGGGAATTACAGGCTGCATGGTGTCCAGTCAGGGGGGATGGAGGGGAAATACAGACTGCATGGTGTCCAGTATACCCAATGGTATTAAGTAGACTCTACGTATCAATCAAATAGATGTGTGTCCTTGGATCTTTCTTTTCCTGGGTGCACCTTGGGTCTTGACCTTGGGTCTAGCAGTCTTATAATCCAATTGACATACTGTCATGACTACTAACGGGCCATTGGATTGTGTTCAAGAGTCAAAGTTGGGCCTGAGGTCTAGGCGGACACTACCCCGGGATTGGGAAGCCCTTTGGGCCCACAGAGAACTTTGCAGGATGGTACGGGTCCTCAGTGGCATGTGTTGATGCCTCCTCACCAGTAATAGTGTTTTGTTTCTACATATTCACCTAACAGGTCCGGTTACAGGGTCCCAGTTTGAAGCTAAGAGTTCAGATTTGGCGTGTTGGCCGTCTGAAGTGAACACAATGGTCTGGTGGACATTAATAACAAATAAAATAAATTTCTTGAAGGTGGAAATATGAAGCAAATTTGCTTTTGACTCACGATTTCCATTCTTTGCTCTGCATTTCCTTCCCCAAAAAAAGGAACCCAAATCAGCTCTACAGAAGGATCACTTACATGTGAGTCATCCGAGGGTTCATCTGAAACGCATCTTCCGAAATATATTTGAGCCCGGTGTTAGAAATGGTCCTGTGGATACAAAACATGGCAGCAACTGAGGACCCATGGACTAACTTGTCCCCGAATCCCACCGAAGAACCCCGGGATCAACCTCTTCCCAACCTAAAATGGCAGGTAACATGGAACTATGCTGCACTCCAGGCCACTCAGGAAGTGCAAACGCAATGTGGATATCCCACTTCCTGTGTATATATTGTATGGGATGCGGTATATGTATGTTTTGTGTACTCACTCTTTAGAGGGAAGCTACAGTTTTCTATACAGTTATAGTCGTTAGATGAAAATAAACCTTATACTGGGAAAGATATGGGGGTTTCCCAATCTGGATTGAGTCTGGTGGGGTATTAAAGCCTGAGGGTAAGTATACAATCTAGGCAGCTAGCATTTTCAGAAGGAGGTCACCAATGGCAGCTCATCTGGGTTTCCAATAGAACAGGTCATGTCCTTTAAATTTAACCTGTGCCTTGCCCTTCATTGGTTGGCTTTAAGGGTTAGCATCCATGGACATGAGCTCCCTTTGAGGTTAAGTTGAGGTCAGCTTTAGTAGGCGGTTCCATAAGACCAGCTCAGACTCTACTTCCCACATCCGTCAAAAAGCTTTGTAAACTGTTGGAATGCAAACTCCAAATGCCTATGTATAGTATCCCTAAGAGGCCTTGACTGGACAGGACAAGCATGCTTTGTTGGATCCGTCATGTAGAACATAATGTAACCCCGGCTTTAATTACAAAACAGGAGGGGCACTTGACTATGAAATACGAGTTTCACAAATACACGTGTCCTTCAAGGAGGAAGCTGCACTGAACTTGGTCCCCATCCTGCCCCGTAGAATACTCTCCTCTCAGGTCATCCCTTCACTCAAGGTCACTTCCCTCCTCCCCAAACATCCTGAACCATCCATCTTTCTTCCCCCCCCCTGGCGGCCACGGGAGCCGCGATGACAAGAAAAATTAATGTCTGTCCACCGGGAGACAAGCGGAGGGGGCCTGAGGTACTCACAGATTTTTTAGCTCTCTGAAGTTCTTCATGTCCGCCTGCGTCAGGTTCAACAAGTCCTTCTGATTCTCGATCACCCTGTTGGAAGAGACAGATACATCAATCAAAAATTTAAGGAGTCCCCCCTGGGCGCACGAGAGAGAGAGAGAGAGAGGCAAAGAGACCTTGAGGCCGCAGTGTCTCCGTTACAATGTCACAGTCTGGGTCATTAAAATGTGACCGCTCGGCTGCTCGCCGCCCCTGGTTTGATGCGATCGCCACAGGAGGGGGGACGCAGCGTTTAATAGAACGTTATCATCCCGACAACGAAATACATCAAATAAAGAACATAGATGACACAACGTTCATTATCATAACGCCCCGGCGGGCCAGACTGCGGGGTCTAGGGTCGCATGTGGACCTCTGGGACTTATTCGGGAGCCCCCGTGGACAGTATTCCGGGTGCTTGCTCAGGCCAGTAAAAGAAAGGTGGTCCTTATAACGGACCCTCGTAGTCCAATGGTTCGGTTTATTTATTCCACACGCACCTTATTTTATTTCCCTCTGATGTCCATCCTTTAGGAGAAATGTTCAAGGTGGCGCCAGTAATATCGAGGGGCGGGCCACTGTAGGGGGGCAAGAACGTGGAATCCTCGATTTGTGTTCGGAGTCCCACCCGTAACCCCAACATGCCTGCTACGAACCCCAATGACGCCCACTTCGTCAACCGACTACAACCTGGGGTGCGCCATGATTTTTTAAAAGGTCAGTATGCCGAATAAGGGGGCGTAGTCGTGAAATGATTGTCAGACGAAAGGGGAAGGGGGGGTGGTGTGCCGGAAGATCGCTGCGTTGCGTCCTCCCCTCCTCACCTGGAATAGCCACGAGCCACTCCGACTCCTCCCACAAATACGGCTAATATCATTAGCCTCAAACTTGTAAGGGGTCTGTTATAGAAGTCATCTCTGGAGGTTCCATGTAACATGTCTCCAGCCTTTGACTGTCCGCTAAAGCATATCACCAGTCTCTGACCATCTCCCATAGCATGTCTGTAGTCTCTGACCATCTCCTGTAGCATGTCTCTAGTCTCTGACCATCTCCTGCAGCATGTCTATAGCCCTTCTGTTGCATGTCTCTAGTCTCTGACCATCTCCTGCAGCATGTCTATAGCCCTTCTGTTGCATGTCTCTAGTCTCTGACCATCTCCTGCAGCATGTCTATAGCCCTTCTGTTGCATGTCTCTAGTCTCTGACCATCTCCTGCAGCATGTCTATAGCCCTTCTGTTGCATGTCTCTAGTCTCTGACCATCTCCTGCAGCATGTCTATAGCCCTTCTGTTGCATGTCTCTAGTCTCTGACCATCTCCTGCAGCATGTCTATAGCCCTTCTGTTGCATGTCTCTAGTCTCTGACCATCTCCTGCAGCATGTCTATAGCCCTTCTGTTGCATGTCTCTAGTCTCTGACCATCTCCTGCAGCATGTCTATAGCCCTTCTGTTGCATGTCTCTAGTCTCTGACCATCTCCTGCAGCATGTCTATAGCCCTTCTGTTGCATGTCTCTAGTCTCTGACCATCTCCTGCAGCATGTCTATAGCCCTTCTGTTGCATGTCTCTAGTCTCTGACCATCTCCTGTAGCATGTCTATAGCCCTTCTGTTGCATGTCTCTAGTCTCTGACCATCTCCTGTAACATGTCTCCAGCATTTGACTGTCTGCTAAAGCATATCCCCAGTCTCCAAGAATTCCAAAAAGCATATCACCAGTCTCTGACCATCTCCTGTAGCATGTCTGTAGTCTCTGACCATCTCCTGCAGCATGTCTATAGCCCTTCTGTTGCATGTCTCTAGTCTCTGACCATCTCCTGTAGCATGTCTCTAGTCTCTGACCATCTCCTGCAGCATGTCTGTAGCCCTTCTGTTGCATGTCTCTAGTCTCTGACCATCTCCTGTAGCATGTCTATAGCCCTTCTGTTGCATGTCTCTAGTCTCTGACCATCACCTATAGTATATCTGTAGTCTCTGACCATCTCATACCTATAGCATGTGTATAGTCTTTACGTTGCATGTCTGTAGTCACTGACCATGTCATATGCATGACTATAGCCCTTCTGTTGCATGTCTCTAGTCTCTGACAACCTCATATAGCACGTCTATAGTCTTTCTGTTGCATGTCTGCAGTCTCTGACAACTCTGTGAAACATTACATTTACTGAATATTATGAGTGGCCATTTGGTAATGTCAAGTGCCGTAATTATGGCCCCTACAGTATATCAAGGAAGTTGACCACCACTGCCACCTGGTCTCACCCATGGACCCTAGTCTCCAATTACAAGCCCTCTCCACCACCTGGTCTGCACCATGGACCCTGGTCTCCAATTACAAGCCCTCTCCACCACCTGGTCTGCACCATGGACCCTGGTCTCCAATTACAAGCCCTCTCCACCACCTGGTCTGCACCATGGACCCTGGTCTCCAATTACAAGCCCTCTCCACCACCTGGTCTGCACCATGGACCCTGGTCTCCAATTACAAGCCCTCTCCACCACCTGGTCTGCACCATGGACCCTGGTCTCCAATTACAAGCCCTCTCCACCACCTGGTCTGCACCATGGACCCTGGTCTCCAATTACAAGCCCTCTCCACCACCTGGTCTGCACCATGGACCCTGGTCTCCAATTACAAGCCCTCTCCACCACCTGGTCTGCACCATGGACCCTGGTCTCCAATTACAAGCCCTCTCCACCACCTGGTCTGCACCATGGACCCTGGTCTCCAATTACAAGCCCTCTCCACCACCTGGTCTGCACCATGGACCCTGGTCTCCAATTACAAGCCCTCTCCACCACCTGGTCTGCACCATGGACCCTGGTCTCCAATTACAAGCCCTCTCCACCACCTGGTCTGCACCATGGACCCTGGTCTCCAATTACAAGCCCTCTCCACCACCTGGTCTGCACCATGGACCCTGGTCTCCAATTACAAGCCCTCTCCACCACCTGGTCTGCACCATGGACCCTGGTCTCCAATTACAAGCCCTCTCCACCACCTGGTCTGCACCATGGACCCTGGTCTCCAATTACAAGCCCTCTCCACCACCTGGTCTGCACCATGGACCCTGGTCTCCAATTACAAGCCCTCTCCACCACCTGGTCTGCACCATGGACCCTGGTCTCCAATTACAAGCCCTCTCCACCACCTGGTCTGCACCATGGACCCTGGTCTCCAATTACAAGCCCTCTCCACCACCTGGTCTGCACCATGGACCCTGGTCTCCAATTACAAGCCCTCTCCACCACCTGGTCTGCACCATGGACCCTGGTCTCCAATTACAAGCCCTCTCCACCACCTGGTCTGCACCATGGACCCTGGTCTCCAATTACAAGCCCTCTCCACCACCTGGTCTGCACCATGGACCCTGGTCTCCAATTACAAGCCCTCTCCACCACCTGGTCTGCACCATGGACCCTGGTCTCCAATTACAAGCCCTCTCCACCACCTGGTCTGCACCATGGACCCTGGTCTCCAATTACAAGCCCTCTCCACCACCTGGTCTGCACCATGGACCCTGGTCTCCAATTACAAGCCCTCTCCACCACCTGGTCTGCACCATGGACCCTGGTCTCCAATTACAAGCCCTCTCCACCACCTGGTCTGCACCATGGACCCTGGTCTCCAATTACAAGCCCTCTCCACCACCTGGTCTGCACCATGGACCCTGGTCTCCAATTACAAGCCCTCTCCACCACCTGGTCTGCACCATGGACCCTGGTCTCCAATTACAAGCCCTCTCCACCACCTGGTCTGCACCATGGACCCTGGTCTCCAATTACAAGCCCTCTCCACCACCTGGTCTGCACCATGGACCCTGGTCTCCAATTACAAGCCCTCTCCACCACCTGGTCTGCACCATGGACCCTGGTCTCCAATTACAAGCCCTCTCCACCACCTGGTCTGCACCATGGACCCTGGTCTCCAATTACAAGCCCTCTCCACCACCTGGTCTGCACCATGGACCCTGGTCTCCAATTACAAGCCCTCTCCACCACCTGGTCTGCACCATGGACCCTGGTCTCCAATTACAAGCCCTCTCCACCACCTGGTCTGCACCATGGACCCTGGTCTCCAATTACAAGCCCTCTCCACCACCTGGTCTGCACCATGGACCCTGGTCTCCAATTACAAGCCCTCTCCACCACCTGGTCTGCACCATGGACCCTGGTCTCCAATTACAAGCCCTCTCCACCACCTGGTCTGCACCATGGACCCTGGTCTCCAATTACAAGCCCTCTCCACCACCTGGTCTGCACCATGGACCCTGGTCTCCAATTACAAGCCCTCTCCACCACCTGGTCTGCACCATGGACCCTGGTCTCCAATTACAAGCCCTCTCCACCACCTGGTCTGCACCATGGACCCTGGTCTCCAATTACAAGCCCTCTCCACCACCTGGTCTGCACCATGGACCCTGGTCTCCAATTACAAGCCCTCTCCACCACCTGGTCTGCACCATGGACCCTGGTCTCCAATTACAAGCCCTCTCCACCACCTGGTCTGCACCATGGACCCTGGTCTCCAATTACAAGCCCTCTCCACCACCTGGTCTGCACCATGGACCCTGGTCTCCAATTACAAGCCCTCTCCACCACCTGGTCTGCACCATGGACCCTGGTCTCCAATTACAAGCCCTCTCCACCACCTGGTCTGCACCATGGACCCTGGTCTCCAATTACAAGCCCTCTCCACCACCTGGTCTGCACCATGGACCCTGGTCTCCAATTACAAGCCATCTCCACCACCTGGTCTGCACCACGGACCCTGGTCTCCAATTACAAGTCACCTCCACCACCTGGTCTGCACCATGGACCCTGGTCTAACTCTAGTCAAGACCTTGTATTTTTGATGGAATGAGGAAGATTTAGAACCTGTGCCAGGTTTTCGTTACTCTATGTACCCCCGGTAGGTCGAATTTCGCCCACTTACTGCCCTAATTGGTGGGTTTCAGAGGAACAGAAAATGAAGCAAAATCTCTCCAATGAGGACACGGAGAGCAGCAAAAACACTACTGGTAGAGGGGTGTAGAAGAGCTAGAACCTCCACGCGGTCCTCTATGTCACTTCCTGTTCCCAGTGACCCCATCTGCCTCAATTTTTGTCTTGGTGTCACATCGAACTTTGCTGGATCTGGGCTTCACTAGTCATCATTACCTCGTCCTTAGACCTCATTGTGGTCATTGGACGCAGGCCATGAACAACAGGCATGGTAAGACACAATGATGTATGAATGGAGCCACCTGCATACTAGTCCTAAATCATTAGTCACCGGCTCCACAGAAGACCACCTGGCCGGAGGAACCGAGTAGGAAAATGTCTCCCAGCTGGGCAATTCTTTCCATGGGCTTTGTTCTTTGGCCATGGGCTCGGATGTGGGAAGCCTTTGAAGACACGTCGGAGGTCTTACGTAGACTGACATTTACAGAAGACTCGTTTTGGAGATCAGTGACTCCGCGCCGCCGCGTCTGGGTGATGGATGCCCCTTCCTTATGGCCAAAGAAGGCCATTGCTTAGGGGGGCGGTACTCAGGGGCAGTCTATACACTGAAAACTAATGAGGACCAGTAAATGTAGATCAGCTCAGATTATGGGCACCTAACATCTCTCTCAGCCTTCCAACTGACCGCTGGTACTTAATGACACACGTCTGTTGGTGGGGGATGGGGTCACTGGTGAAGAGGGGTGAGCGAGGGCACTTTTCTGGGAACTCACATCTCTGAAATGGTGGATTAGAAGTAGCAGTTGCAACCTGTTGCTGCTACAAGCTCCTTCTCTGTGGTCCTGCTCCAGACTCCTGCTCCTGTTCTAGCTCCATGCTCCTGCTCCTGCGCCAGACTCCTGCTCCTGCTCCAGACTCCTGCACCATGCTCCTGCTCCAGACTCCTGCTCCTGTTCTAGCTCCATGCTCCATGCTCCTGCTCCAGACTCCTGCACCATGCTCCTGCTCCAGACTCCTGCTCCTGTTCTAGCTCCATGCTCCTGCTCCTGTTCTAGCTCCATGCTCCTGCTCCATGCTCCTGCTCCAGACTCCTGCACCATGCTCCTGCTCCAGACTCCTGCTCCTGTTCTTGCTCCAGACTCCTGCTCCATGCTCCTGCTCCAGACTCCTGCTCCATGCTCCTGCTCGAGACTCCTGCTCCTGTTCTTGCTCCAGACTCCTGCTCCAGCCTCCTGTTCCAGCTCCTGCTCCAGACTCCTGTTCCAGCTCCTGCTCCAGACTCCTGCACCAGACTCCTGTTACTGCTTCATGCTCCTGTGCCTGCTCCAAATCCTACTCCATACTCTTGCTCCTGAGTCCTACTCCAGACCCCTGCTCCTGCAACAGACCCCTGCTCCTGCAACAGACCCCTGCTCCTGCAACAGGCTCCTGCTCCTGAGGGGCCCCACATCCTTACCTAACCGTATTCAATTATACTCTCCATTGTCATTACCTTAAGTAAAAGTGTGACAATCGCTTCATTCAGAGGAGAGGAAACACACCGCGCAAGTGGTGACGATTATATGGGCTGAGAGGGGGGTCATGGCACTCTCTCTCTCTGGTAACATCCATCTCTCATGGCACTCTCTCTGGGGATCTTCCTCCATAGAGATGTCTACAGGTCACTACATAGGGAGTATAGGGAGCTGGAGGGGCTCTGTGATCCCAACAACCAGTTCCTGCACCTTCACCTCTAATATCACCCCAATTCCTGCAC